GGACGGGGAAGAGACAGTGCGGGAGCGGTGGTTGAGGGCAGGCGAGTAGGGGGAGGAGACGGGGGAGGGAAGGGGCTCTGCAGGGGAAGGGAGTTGTAACGGGGCGCTCCGCTCGGCAGGGTGGATGAGCTCTCTCCGCTGAAGGAGCCCCGCCTCCCCCCGGTCCTTGGCGAGGTGGCCTCTGGCCCCCTTCTTTCCTTTGTGCGGGATTTGGATTACCAAAACAGGCAACGACGCGGCCACCCTGGAGCTCATTCTGGAGGATACCGAGGACATTGTACGGCGGCGCCTGGCGCCCACCGCCGCTGCCGCCGCCGCCGCCGCAGGCATCACCGGCGCCTCGGAGCTGTCCCCGGCCGCCGCCGTCGCCGCCGTGATTGCCGGCGTCGGCGGCAGCGGCCCCGGGGTCGCCACGCTGAGTGCGGCGCAAGTGGACCTGCTGCCGCTGGCTCGATACACGTCCTCCGTGATCAAGGCGGCGATTCGCTATGCGGCAGAGGCGGCGGAGACGGAGTCGGAGTCGGAGACGGAAGCGGAAGCGGAAGCGGCTGAAGGAACGGCGGAGGTGATAACGGCGGCGTTGGAGGTGACGGAGGCAGCGGCAGCGGCGGCGGGGGCAACGGCGGTGGAAGTAGTGGAGGTGGTGCTAACGGAGCTTGAGGAAGGGGTGGAGGGCTCCCAGGAGGGCGGGGCGGCGGAAGAAGAAAAAGCTCCCGAAGCGGCGGCGGCGGCGGCGGCGGCGGCGGCGGCGGCGGCGGGGGAGGCCGAGGACTCCGAAGCGGAAGCGGGGGAGGTAGAGGACGTGGCGGGAGTGCAGGATGTGGAAGTGCATGTAGAGGTGGAGGTGGAGGCCGCTGCTGGATCGCTGGTGGGGGCCCCAGCCGGGGGCGGCCGCATTGCCGGACTGGAACAATCCGCCAGCTGCTGTGTTGTCGGTGGCGGGAATCTGTCAGGCCCAGAGCCGGGCGTCGCCATTGACGCAGGACAACAAGTAGACGTCGCGGGCGCTGCGACGGTATGTCCGTACGGCAGCGGCGGTGAGGGTCGCCGTCGGGCCCTGGGGGCAACCGGGATGGAAGCGGAGGCTGGAGCTGAGGCAGCGGAGGAGGCGGAGGAGGCGGAGGAGGCGGAAGGGGAGGGGGAGGAGGAGGGGGAGGGGGAAGCTATGTTGGCAACAATGGGGGCGGCGGCGAAGCAGAAAACGGTGGAGGCGGAATCGGCTCAAGCGGCTCCAGCGGCAGCGGCAGCGGGTGTTGATCACCCGGAGGTGGCTGGGGACGAGGTAGAGTCGTCATTGGCAGTTGGTGGTGGTTGCGGTAAGCAGCACAGCGACGTTCATGGGGCGGATTGCAGCAACGCTACGGCAGCACAAGCAGAAGCGGAAGCAGAAGCATCAAGCAGCGACGGCGCGGCCGCCGCAGACGCCACTGCCGCGGCGGCTGTGGCGGCGGCGGTAGCAGACCCCTCCCTTCCGCAGCCGCAGCGACCCATGGTTCCGTGGCACGTCACGGGTCTGTCCGAGTGCGTCGTCTGCAGCGAGGCCTTTGCCGAAGAGCAATTGGTGGCGCTACTGCCCTGCCACCACTTCTTCCACGACAGGTATGCGAGTACGACCTCACCGTACTGCCGTATGGTTTGTCGTACGAGGTGCTAGGATACGTCCGTCGGTGCAGGCGGTCTGCCTTGGGGCTGTGGCGGGGCCTGGTACGTCCCCTAGGTCATTTTGTTATGAGGGAATGATCAACCGAATGCACCATTTGGGACGTACTTGGATATGTTCAGCACGCTCGTGGGAGCTGGAGGGGGGGTGGGGCTGGGGGGTTAGGTGTGAGGGGCCGGTCGTGGCGTAAACTTACCCCGCACCCGCACCCGCACCTAGGTGTATTCGCCGCTGGCTACTGGGCTTCAGCAATTCCTGTCCCATGTGCCGGGCGCCGGTGCGAGTGGGAGTTCTGGGGGCACCTGGGGGCACAACGGTGCCGATACAGGTGTACACTGAGGCAGCGGAGGCAAGGGAGGCAGCGGAGGCAGTGGCTGATGCGGCGTCGCCAGCCATCCAGGGAACGGTTGCCGCGTCGTCGCCGCCGTCGCCGCCGCCGCCGCCGCCGTCGCTGCCGCCGGAGCCAACCACCTCCGGCTTGAGGAGTCCCAAAACTGCGGGAGCCTCCGCCGCCGCGGCTGCGTCTGCAGCAGCATTGGCCGCCGCAGCCTCGCTTGGTGTCGTACCCGGCGGGTCGAGTACGGAACCTTGCTTCAGCGGCGCCGCCGCCGGCGGCAGCAGCGGCGCTGGTGGTCTCGGCGCCGCGAGCCTCAGCATTACGTGTGGTGTGCCCATTGGTGGGCGCTCCGGAGCCAGTGCTGGTGACGTAAGACCCAGTTTCCCAAGCCGCGCCTCGAGCCACTGCCGTACGGCCAGCGGGTGCCGATTCTTTAGCCGTAGCGATAGGGAGCAGGAAGTCGAGGGTGGCAGCGGGGATGGCGACCAACCTTCACCCGCTAGTGAACAGAGGAACGACGAGGAGGAGGAGAGGATAAAGGAGGTGGTGGAGAAGGAGGCGAAGGAGGACAATGACCTCAGCGGGAGTGAACCGACCCGTGGGTCATCCTGGGACAGTGCCCGCACGTCATCACTGCCCCACAGCCCTGCGGTTTCGTCCCCAGGCAAGCCCGCACTCGTCACGCGCTCACAGCCGGACGGTGCTGCAGCAGCTGCACCCGGTGCGACTTCAACACGAGGAGTAGGATCCAGACCTGTTGCCGCCGGCGAAGCTCGATCCGGGAACCTTGGCCAGGAAGCCCCGCCTCCGGGCCGCATGGCAGCCCCGTCCTTGGACCCGGCGGCGGCTTTCCCGGCGGCAGCTCCAGGAGGAGCGTCCCGGGCCGCTGCGGAGCTGGTGCAGGCTGGCGGTGGTAACGGCAGTAGCATAAGTCGGGGGTTAATGTCGCGCTACAGCTACCGGGCGCCGCTGCCGGTGCCGCGCGGCAATGTCGACGAGTACGAGGAGGGGTGCTGGGAGCTGCCGGGGGAAACCAAGGTTTCGGATTTGCCGTACTTGTAGTGAAGGTTTTAAGAAGATTGGAGGACGCGGAGTCGGGAGTGAGAGGCTGAGAGAGAGGCGCGCGGAGAAGCACGAGCGCAGGGCTGTTTTTTCACGACGAGCGCTCTGACATTCTGGTATTCAACAGGATGGGGCCTAACGTTATTTGTGACTTATAATTGAAGGATCGCCGTAGATGCGTGTGATGCTTTGATGTGAAGGCCCAGCGGCGTTGTATCCTACAGGCGAGGTAGATCAATCGCCAAGACATGGACTTGAATGATCGCGTTTAAGAATCCAAAGCATTGAAAAAAGAATACTAGAATAAGAAATACTTTGTTGTTATCCCAATAATAGAGGCCTGATGAGTAAAATCTTGTTGGGGAGGCCGAACTGTACCGTATACCCGTATACCACGAAATTTGCGACGATGGGAGGAACTTTTTCCGAAAACATTATTGAAAACGACTCATCATTTGTTTACATGTCGCACAATGGTTGAAACGCAACGGTTTGAAGCACGCGGCGCTACACACACCATCTGGCTGGCTCAGTGCTTGACGCTGAGTCTCAAACTAGCTTGCGAGAACATAAATTAATCATACGTTTGCGCCCTCAAAAAGTTCCGATCAACTTTTTTTGAAAAGTTCCGATCAACAATTGCCTGTCAGCGACTATAATGTCCTGTTTAGGCATTGTCATATGTAGCCGTCATCGTATGTAGGTGCCTGTCTAGGTAATCTGTAAACGCAGCCCCTGCGGAGGGTCTTACGGAGCAGGTCCCTTTGTGCTTCCCTTTGCAACGCGGATCTGAAACTTCGCATCGCACATGGCTTGGCTTGGGCGTGTGACCTCCTCTCAGCAACCCTACCCATACATGCCGCACGCCTGGCTAGCTGCAACGCCTCGCGAGCTGGAGATGGCTGCCTGAGATGGCGCCAACTAAACATCGAACTTCTACTTGCGCGATCACCTTTCCACATCCAACCATTGCGATAGTTGGAAATCCGGTGTCGGTTTAAGTAGTTGTAGAGCGCCAGGGGGGGGTCCTCTGACAAGGGGCATGGGCGGGGGACTTGGGCGCCGCGCGCAAACCGCTGTGTTGTGCAACATCTCATCGTCAGGTGGGGGTTATATTCGCCATGTCGCGCCGCAGCCCTTACTTAATGCCGTGCAGACGCGACTGCCCGGCAGCTGCAGCAATATACCTGGCGCGGGATGTGTCTGTCTATGCATGGATGGACCGGGCCGCACCTGGGGGCAGGCGAGGTGAGGGGAGTTTCTGGGGGCGCCTTAGAATCTAGGCAAGTGCTGGTGGTAGTGTTGTTGTTGTTGGTAGTGATGGTAATGAGTCACGGAGAAATGCACTTTGAAATGCACATGTTATAGAGCCAGGGCTTGCAGGGCAGGTTTCTCGAAATGGAAAAAGGGCATGGGGTAACGCATCGCCGATTGACGGCCGCAGAAGCACTGGTCGCCGTCGCTGGCAGAGGTCAAGGTTACCCGGCTCTGCGTGGCCGGCTCTGCATGGTTAGGGACACGGTGGCTGTGCAGGCCTGACAGGCGTTTTGTATTGGAGGTATAAGGGCATTAATGAGACTGAGGAGTACAGTAGAGCTTGTTTGCATATGCCGACATGTATAGCATGGCGTGCGCTGGAATAGGCACGGAAAGACGTTTTGACGGCGTTTCAAGCTAGGAAGAACCCGGCGAGCCAGGAACGAAGGGCCCGAGGACCAACCAACAAAAGTCCGTGATGTAAACGTAAAGCAATGCTTATGAATGGATAGCTTACCGTATAGTTGCCTGAAAATACTAAACCTTAGTAGCACCCGCGACACCTAGCTCCTAAGGTAGATACCAGGCGGTTTCCAGTTATTCCCGTTGCCGCGTTCTGCTACACTAAAACATTTACCACGCCACCAGGTAGAGCGCCATAAGTTAAGAAATCGCTAAAATTATTCTCTGTCATCAAAGCTATCAGACTATGCGTTGTTGTGTGTGCTACAGGAGTTGTGGTCGGGCGTAACGAATCACATTCGATTCGACTAATGACGTTCCTGTACACTTATACACACTATGTTACGTAATCGCGAATATAATAAAAATTCTGCATTCAATTTAATGGTTAATATCGAACTTTCTTCCATATCTACGCTTTTGAATCGGAACCGCCCAGTCCTGTTCACGCGGAAGTTCAGGCGCCTGGCGCCCGAGCGCCCTTAATACTGTAGTGGTATATTATTAGTGAACATGAGTAACTCGGTAAATCCGGGTAGGCTCTCCCAAATGCCCCGCCTTGCGTCGGCCCCAGATGTGGCAGCTCCTGCTGCGTCCGCAAAGAAAATGCCCCACATAACCTCAAAGGCGGAGCTCAGCAAAATGATAGATGCTGTCATGGAGGGAGAGCGTGACAATTTGAGGCTTATCAGCAAGGTCAACGACCGCATGCAAAAGTAGGGCTTTACGCTTCTTTGGGTCTGTCGTCCCCAACATGGGCTTTATGCTTCTTTGGGTCTGTCGTCCCCAACATTTTTCAAGCGCGTGACGTCCTAGAATATCATATAACACCACTCATGATAAAATTTTCATTTATTCCAATCATGACCCATTCACCTTCAGGGTTGGGCTCACGATGCCAGGGGTGGAAGTCCGCTGGAACAATTTGCTGATAGAGCTCGAGCCTCCTCGGCGGGTAAGTGTTTGCCAGCACACATCGACACACCAATATGTAAATAACTTTTAATTCTTTTAATTATGACCTGCGAGAAGTTTGATCTGCCTAACGGATAACCTCCCAATCGCGCGCACTCCATGTAGCCACATGAGGAACCTCTGCGGGCTTGCTTCCACTGCCCTCTCCCACGTTACATACTCCGCCTCAACTGCGCTACTGTTCCTTTGGCCCCTGGTCCTTTGCCGGCGCATTTTCCTAGCTGCCGGTCTTCCTGTCGGCTGTGGCACAACAATTCCTCATCATCCTCTTCATCCTCATCTGTGCGTCACCACAATTCACTCCACCAGGCGCCTCCCCCCTCCCCCCCTCTCCATGTCCAACATAAACCTGTCCCCCTCCTCCCGGGCCCCCACATGCCCACATGTCTACCCTATGCAGCCCCTTTCCCAGCTCCTCCGCAAAGCAGTCACCGCGCTCTCTTCGCCCCCCTCCACATCCAATGGAGCAGTCAAACCCGCTAGGCCCTCCCCATCGCCAACTCCGACAGCCACACAGCCCTGCCGCCCTGTCATCCTCGACGCCGGCAGCGGCTGCCTTACACCCGGGCGCATGTGCCTGCTGCTGGGCCCCCCTGGAGCCGGGCGCACCACCCTTCTTAAAGCCCTAGCAGGCCAGCTCATCCCACCCGCACACCGCAGCAACTCGAGTCGCGTCCGGCTGCCCGTTACCGACCAGTTTCGCTCATCACCAAACTGGAACGACGGCACCGCCGGTGGTGGTGGTGGTGGTGGCGGTGGCGGTCCCGGCAAAGCTGCGGCGTCTCAGCCGGTGGTGCGGGCTGGCCGAATCGTACAGCACGGCACTGTGCTGTACAACGGCCTACCGGTCGATGGGTCGGCGTTTGAGGTGTCTCGCGCCGCCAGCTATGTGGGCCAGACGGAGCTGCACTTGCCCGAGCTGACGGTGGCTGAGACGCTCCACTTTGCTGCGGAGTGTCAAGGGCAGGGTGGCGTTGAACGTGAGAACGGGGCCCCCAGGAGTAGGTGGAGGAGGCCACAAGGTTGCTTCGTCATCAACATCGCCATTATCATTACCATCACCATCACCATCACCATCACCATTAAAGTCAGAATCACGTTTCTCCTTCTCCCTTTTCCCTCTAGGTTTGCGTGCTCTGCTTTTGAAGCACGAGATGGATGCGGGCATTGCCCCGGATGACCCGGACCTGGATTTGCTGCTGGCTCTAGCTAGGGGCCCCTTTGCGGCACGTGCGGTGGTGGAGGTGAGGAGAGGGGGGAGGGAGGGAGGGAGGGAGGGGGCGGTGGGGAGCGGCCGTGTGGGTGGCGGCGAGGGGTGTCATGACCCACTTGTTCTTCAAACTCACGGCGTTGTCCGAACACTCATTCGAGCTTACGAGGGGGAGAGGGATTTAGGGGGGTTTCCGTGGAGAAGAGGAGTGACGGGGAGGGGAGACACGACCCGATCTGCGTGTGTATGTAGGTGTATGTGTGTATGCAGGTGTGCTGTGTGTGTACCTTGTTACATATCTGCTGGCCGGGGCACCTAACCGTACCCGTCAGGGATACCGGCGAAGCACTCTGCGTCGAGCTCCAGTTGCAGAGGGACGCATTGTCCAACCACATTGTCCGCTCACATCCACAGCCCTCCTGAAGCCACAGTCCTCCGTTTCTCATCGCCGGGCTGCTAAGCTGGCCCCCACTCCATTCCTCTCGAATGGGGACTCAGACCCCTCAGTCCTCCCCAATCGACCGCACAGGCAGCTCACCACTCTTGGCAGCCCACTCGTAGTTCCCATTCACCAAGCGCAGGCGGGCTATACCCCATAGCCCCCTTCACCGCTTATAGGGCGCCAGAGAAACCAAACCCTGGCCGCCTTGAAATTTCTGCATCCTAGCACAGGAGGACTCAATCCTTCCCATCACCCTCGTCCATATGTTATCCTTGTTACAAAGTGGGAGGCTTCTGGGCCATTTGCGCACATTTACATTGTCACATCTAGGATTGAACATGCCATACAGCACCTTCCGCAATTAGTGACGGAGGGCGGCTAGGTGGTGGGCGGTGTGTGTATGTATGTGTGCGCGTGTGTGCGTGTGTGCGTGTATGCTTGTGCGTGAGAGGAGAGATTGGAGAAACTTGAGGAGCTGGCTTGGGGCGAAATCGTTTACGGTCCCCTTACCGCAATCTCTGTTCTCATGACAAGAGCACGTGCATACGGAATCCACACACACGCACATTCTAAACAGACACACACACACGCATGGATACACAAGCTTCACCCCCACGCTCTCGCCAGATATTGCCCGCATGCTGGGTATCGACCACGTCATGGACACGATGGTGGGTAATGAGATGATCAAGGGCATCAGCGGAGGACC